ACAAGGGAGCTAAAGCATTATAGGTCATAATTTGCTCAAGGTTGTGAAACTCTTAAGTAGCAGGGTCAGAATTTGAATCTAGGCAGTCTAACTCCAAAGGCTTGCTCCTACCTACTCTGATGTTGTCTCTAAGTGGTAAGCATGTATCTGAGGTCTTGGGATCCTTCAGATGGCTATCTTGACTCTCTAGCCCCTGGAGTAACACCAGGGAAGGCCCTCATGGCCTCAAGCACTCCTTTGCTGCTGCTCTTAACTGGCTGGTTGCATTTCATCCCTTGGGGAATCCTCTGGCAGTCATCTTCCCAGTGCTCCCATCCTTTTCTCTGGAGCGGAAACCACCCATGTTTCCCAGTTGAGGTCACTGTTCCAGTAGGTATCTTAGGTTGTTAAGAACTATGAAAATAGTTTTCCAGAAAAAGATAAGGGGCGGCAGCAGCATTTTCCCTTTCCCCCTGTCCACCCACACCCTGGGTTGGGCCCTGTGGCCAAAGTATAAGAGGCACAGTGTCTTGACTGGGCAGACAGTAAGTGGGAACTGGGTGACAGTAAGTGGGAACTTCCGTGTGAATGTTCTTTTGGACCCGTAAGGTACTAGAAGGAAACAAGTTTGAAGTTACTGTACGTAAACCACCTTCACTCTTGCCCTACGTGATCTGTTCTGGCAAGTCATATGTACAAGCCAGTCAGTTCATTTCTTACATCTTTGAGGAGCCACCTTATGCCCAGTTGCTAGCGGAGAAGACAGGGCGCCTGTCCTTGTGGAGCTCGTGCAGTTGGGCCTTGTCTCTCAGAATCCCGACAACAGCCTGCTCCGTTTGCTCTTTGAAGGTAGCCCAGCTCTCGGACTCTTACTTATGTGCCCCTTCCCCAGGCTTTGGAGGAGAAGGTACGGACCACAGAGACCCAGGTGCTTGTTGCATCTGCCCAGAAGAAGCTGCTGGAGGAGAGACTGAAGCTCGTCTCGGAGCTCTGGGATGCCGGGATCAAGGTAGCGGAGGCCGGCCCCAGGGTGGCAGCAGACTTGGGAGTGCTAGGAACAAACGAAGTAAAAGCTCATCCATAGCAACTTCGTGGAGGAGGGCCAAGAGCACTTGGGCCCCTTCCAAGGAAGTTGTCCCTGAGGGCAGTAGAAGCCAGCACTCATCTTCTGCCCTGGTCCCCTGCAGGCAGAGCTGCTCTACAGGAAGAACCCAAAGCTGCTGAACCAGTTGCAATACTGTGAGGAGGCAGGCATCCCACTGGTGGCCATCATCGGTGAGCAGGAGCTCAAGGATGGGGTCATCAAGCTCCGCTCAGTGGCCAGCAGGGAAGAGGTAGGTAGGTGGGCAGGAAGGCTGAGGGACAGGGAATGGCTGGCAGGCCATGCCCATTCAAGACCCGAGCAAAAGCCTGGCACTCATGTTAATGCCCACTCGGAAAGGACTAAAGGTTAACCTGTTACTGTGGTCCTGGTAGGGTAGGAGTCCCATCTCCATCTATACCCTGTGTCTCTGGCTCCTCCAGGAAGCACTGTCTACTTTTTGCCTGCCTTTGCCTGCGTTCCTGCTCCCAGCTGAGCCAAGTCTGATGACTAGGGGAAGCAGTGGGCACTTAGGAGCAGTGGAGTCAGAGATGCTCACACCACCTTCTTTCCCCATCCTGGCCAGGTGGACGTCCGAAGAGAAGACCTTGTGGAAGAAATCAAAAGGAGAACAAGCCAGCCCCTTTGCATGTGCTGAGTTGAGCAGACTATCAGGGGAAAGTGGGACTGGCACCATGTGAGGCTCAGACAAAACTCTGCATGTATACTTCACAGCTTTGCACACTTCTGTTCCAGCAGGAAGACCTGAACGGTGGTCAGAACGGAGACTTTTTATTATGATTATTTTATTGGTAATCACAGGCAAAAGTGGCCAGGTATTACACAGTTTTTCCACAGGATGTCCTGGGGGCTTAGTCCAGTCTGTGCTCCAGGGACGGAGCCTCAGATGGTCGCCCCTGCAGGACCCTAACCAGATGGAGGGAGTGCTCCCCCCTAATCCTTAAAGGTCCAATAAAATGACTCAACCGCTGGAGCCTGCCTGTGTCACTGCTGTCTAGTTCTGCCTTCCCTGTGGGAGCCTGGGCCTGCCATTCCAACCACCTGAGCGGTGCGAAAGTGGGGAGAGACTGACAGTAGGCCCCCTGGGCGCCTCCCCGGGGTGAAGGGTGCCGCTGAGGCTCCTGCCTCCCGCGCACAGCCGCGCCCGAGGAGCCGGCGCTGCCCGCACGCTCACCAGTTAAGGGCTCTAGCTTTCACCTGAGGGTCCGAGGTTCCCGCGGCGCACGTGCAGTGGATACCCCCACCCCCTTGGGGGGCGGGGTCGTGTTCAGAGCCAATGAGAGCTTGGGGGGAGGAGGGGTAGGGAAACTTCCAGAGGGAGATGCGGAGGAGGTTATAAAGGGGGTACCGACGGGCTGGTCCGAGAGCCATGCAGTCCAAGCGGGAGTGTGAGGTGAGTGGCTGGCAAGAGGGGCTCGACAAGCGCCACCTAAGCAGGGAGAAGTGGCCCCTTGGGCTCCGGCTCCACAGGCGAGGTGGGGGGCGGGCGCGGCGATCCGCCATTCCAACCTGCCCTTTCGCCTTCAGCTGTGGTGTGAGAGGGTGAATCCCGAGAACAAGGCGGCGTTGGAGGCGTGGGTCAGGGAGACGGGCATCCGCCTGGTGCAGGTGAACGGGCAGAGGAAGTATGGCGGGCCACCCCCAGGTACGTCCCAGCCCTACGCCTGCCGGGCCCCGCCAGCCTCGACGGTCCCGACCGTCCACCCTCTGGGGGAGGGGCCTAGCCCAGTGCTCTGCAGGCAGAAATCTCGACCCGTTGCACCCCCTCCGATCAAGCAGCTGAGACTTGTCTGTGGCTCTCCAGCCACCCACCTTGCCCCCCGCCCCCCGAGGGAGGGAGCCAGCCTTAAGGTGCACTTAGCCTGCGCCAGCCGCGTTGTTAGCTAGGCACCCGGTTATGCCAACGGCTCGGGGTGCGAGTGCTGCACCCATTTCACGGACGTTTGCTCATAGGCCCTCTCGCGCTGGGTGCCCGGGCCCGAAACCCGGAGCCGTCCCGGAGGATGACGGTGCCCCTTTCCGCCCCTTCCCCCAGGCTGGGTGGGCAGCCCGCCGCCGGCCGGGTCCGAGGTGTTTATCGGGCGGCTGCCCCAGGACGTGTACGAGCACCAGCTGATCCCACTGTTCCAGCGCGTGGGCCGCCTCTACGAGTTCCGCCTGATGATGACCTTCAGCGGCCTGAACCGCGGCTTCGCCTACGCGCGCTACAGTTCGCGGCGCGGCGCCCAGGCGGCCATCGCCACGCTGCACAACCACCCGCTGCGGCCGGCCTGCCCGCTGCTCGTGTGCCGCAGCACGGAGAAGTGCGAGCTGAGTGTGGACGGGCTGCCCCCGGCGCTGAGCCGCCGCGCGCTGCTGCTCGCGCTGCAGCCCCTGGGTCCCGGCCTGCAGGAGGCGCTGCTGATGCCCAGCCCCGGGCCGGCGCCCGCGCAAATTGCGCTGCTCAAGTTCAACTCGCACCGCGCCGCTGCCATGGCCAAAAAAGCCCTGGTGGAAGGTAGGGGGGGCCGAAACACATTTCGCCATGCACTTTACACGTCAGCATAGAGGGTAAAGCAAGTTTGAGTTTTCGATGTCATACTGTATATGACCTGAGATTTTTAGTTTCCGCTGGTGCTCCCAGGTGCCACCTACGTTAACGCTTCCCAGGCATTATCTCCTAACTTAGTCTCCAACATTCCAGTGAAACACAGAATGAGCTCCCTCTTTAGATATGAAGAGAGGGTTTGGGGAGAAATTAATTCGCCCGAGGCAGTCCTACGGAGTCTACCTTTTATCTACTATAGAACTTGCTACCTCAGGCTGTTGTGAGAATTAGGTGGCACTTAGCACATTCCCTGAGTCGTGGCAGGTAATCACAGTAAAGGTTAGCTATTATGATGGTTATGAGGCAGACAAAGCCTGCATCCACCGGCACTCCAATAAGGGAACTAAGAAGGTAGCAGCTACTACGCCCCCTTTTCAAAGAAACACAAAGCCTGGAGAAGTTAACTCGCCCAAGGTCACACCACCAGGAAATGGGAAGGCTAGAAATTGAACAGGCCGCGTAGACTCCAAAGGGTTCACAGGGCCTGGGAGCTTGGATCCAGGGCTTAGACCTCCCCCTTGTCTTTGCCTTTTTCCTGCAGGGCAGTCACGCCTCTGTGGAGAGCAGGTGGCGGTGGAGTGGCTCAAGCCAGACCTGAAGCAGCGACTCCGCCAGCAGCTCCTGGGTCCCTCACCGCAGAGCCTGCAGCCAGACGGCAGTTGGCTGGCCCCAGCCAGGGACAAGCTAGAGTCCCAAGGGGCTCGGGCTGCCCTGCAGCTGTTGTGCCAGCGGATGAAGCTGGGCAGCCCCGTGTTCCTCACCAAGTGTCTGGGCACAGGCCCTGCCGGCTGGCACCGCTTCTGGTACCAGGTGGTGATCCCTGGGCACCCAGTGCCCTTCAGCGGCCTCATCTGGGTGGTGCTGGCCCCGGATGGGCAGAACGGGCATGAGGTGGCTAAGGATGCCGTGTCTGCCAGGATGCTAGAGGCACTGAGGGAGTCGGGGGCCAGCCTTGTACGGTCTGCGGGAGCCGAGGCAGGTACCGTGGTTAAGCAGTGACGCTGTCCTCTTCACAGGCAGCCGGCACGAGCTGGCAGAGCTTGTGTCAGTCCCCAGCCCAGCAGGCCTGGGCAGCCGCCATCTAATCTCAGAGAGGAGGAGCCCGGGCCGCGCCCTACCTCTGACACAGCCTCCCAGCTGGGGCAGGGCCCCAGGAGGCCTGGGAAAGCTCAGGTTTGGCTAAGTTGTGGTGAGGGACCCTTGCTTTCCCCCTCCCGGCCCAGGGTCTGACCTGGCCCCACGGTATTCCTTGGCTGTTCTCTGTGTGATAGACACACAAACACCCCCTCTTCTCCCACAGCCCAGTATGAATCTCACTTCTTCTTTTCTTGATTTGTCATCTTTGTTGATTTTATTTGGAGGCTGGCTGAGCCAGAGGGTCAGAAATCTGCCTTGTGTCCCCACTACGTGACATTCTGGTTATGGTGTATGTGATTTTGGGTTTTTCTCTGCTGGTTGTATTTATATTAAACCCCTGGTTGGTGTACACCTGTGTCCGTGCGATCTTGCCCCAGCCGTGGGCTTCTCTCCCACTGGCCGAGTGAGTGGCTACCACAGAGCAAGTACTTACCTCCTCCCCCCCGCACCCTCAGTCCTGAGCCTCTGGCTCTGCACCTTTGTGCACGGCCCAAGAGCAGTACAAATTCGTAGCGCCTCTCGTATCCAGCCCAGGAAGCAAGATGTGCCCGGGGGGGGGGAGGGGGGGGGACCTATCCTGAGACTCCGCTCATGCCCTCAGTCACGGTCATCCTCACTCTCCTCCTCCTCCTCCTCCTGAGCTGCGCAGTCTTCTCCCTCTTCCCTCAGTCCTGCAAAGAAGTCAGCTGTGCTCCAAGCCTTGCTGCTCAGCGCCCGCAGCGGCCCCCCCTTTTTCTTGCGCCGGCGGTAGTCATCTACGACCACAGCCCGCAGCTGGGCCATGTTCCAGAACTTGAGGCGCTGGTCGTGGCCACTGCTGGCCAGGAAGTGGCTGCAGTGGGAGAGGGCCAGCTTCTCCACAGGCTCCCCGGCATGCTGGCCCACGCTGCCCACCACGCGGTTCGGCAGGATGTTGACAGCCCTGGGCAGAGAGAAAAGAGAGTTTGGTCTTGGCTGGTTCGGTCCGCCCCTCGTGCGACCTCAGGGCCGTCCTGGCCTCTCTCACCTGATGACTCCGTCAGTGGAACCAGCGCACAGCAGGCTCTCAGTGACCGGAACCATGCAGTCAATAGACTCAGCTCTCAGAGCAAACCGATCACTTGTGGCCCCAAAGCCATTCCAGTTGAAGAGGTAGATGGTGCCTTCACCGGAGCCACAGGCCACCTTCTTCCCATACTGCAGAGAATGAAACCATGTCTGTGGGGGCCCTGTCAGAACAGATCCCTGTCGTGCTCCCAAACCCCCACACCGAGATGTACTTTCATGAGCGTGACAGAGGTCAGGTCTCCAGACTGAGGCTCTGAGAGCAGTTCAAACCGGCGCCGCCTGATGTTGAAGACGCCCAGGCAGCCATCCCCGCTGTAGAGAGAATAGAGCAGCGGGCTTGGCCAAAGCTCCCATCGAAGGAGGGAGCTGCAACAGGGAAGGGAAAGGGAGGCAGCTTTGAGGCTGTACCTGGCTGTAAGCAGCAGCTTCTTGGCTGGGTCCAGAGCCATGTCAGCGATATACTCCTCATGCTGCCTCATATCCATTAAGGGGCCCTCCTTCCGCTGGTCCCAGAGCCGGATGCCACCCATGTCATCCCCAGTGGCCAGGACATTCTCATCTACCAGCAGCAGACTGTTGATGGGGGCACTAGAGACACACAGCTTCTTGAAGCATTTTGTCCCGGGAGGAACCTACCACCTTACCCTTGACCTCAACACACAATTAGTTCCCCTTACCCGTGAGCCTTGGAAATGCGTCTTTCCAGTCGGCCCTGCTCCACATCTAGAACATGGATGGCTTTGTCCTTGGAGACAGTGACAAGTTCTGGGGGGAGAGGTGCCCAGGTCATGGTGCTGCTCACTGCCCCCTTGCCAACAGATTGCTGGCTGGCTGCCTTGCCCAATACTCACTCTGTCCATCTTCAGAGAAGGCCACAGCTCGGCAGGATTTGAGGTGGTGACCTGAGGACCAGAGCTCCTTCGTTTCTCCCTCTTGGCAAGAGTAGGAAAAGCTAGGGGGAGGAGGAAGAGAGTGAATGACTCCAGATCCTGCCAGCAGGGAATATAAAGACCAACTTAGTCAACCTTCCACCTCTCTAGGAACTGCTGCTTACATACCACCAAACCCACGGAGCTTACCATCCCATTTTTCCATTTTCAAATGTTCAGTCTTTAATTCAACATACATTCAAAGTATATTTGCTCAGGACTTCTTTGTGAACTGACCCCACGTCATCCTTAAAAGCCCCAGCCTGGGGAAATACTAGATCTGGACCACTATGGAGGGTGTGAACTATGTGCTAAAGACAGAACAGGGGCGCCTGGGTGGCTCAGTTGGTTAAGTGTCCGCCTTCAGCTCAGGTCATAATCCCAGAGTCCTAGGAGCTACTCCTTGCTCAGCAGGGAGTCTGCTTCTCCCTCTCCCTCTGCCCCTCCCCCAGCTTGTGCTCTGAGTCTCTCATTCTCAAAAATCTTAAAAAAAAAAAAAAAAGCCCCAGGAGTTTGAAATACAAAAATTAACAAAAGACAGGGCTCTTGTACTCCAGGTCTATATGAGCTCAAGAAAGTTAAAACTAATTACAGAATATTGTGGCCACATGCTGAAAAGGAGGTAGGATCAAAATGGAGGTGGAACAGAGAAGGGCCAGCCTGGAAGCTCAGCTTTGAGGCAAGTATTTGTCCAGAGTGTATCCCTAGTGCCTACCTCAGAGCAGATCTTCAAAAAGGGCCAGATGACAAAGTACTTAATTGCTAGGGAGTTTTGGTGAGCAGAACAGGGTCTCCTTATTTGCTCTGTCCCAGTGCCTAGCATGAGAAAAGAGCCCTGGAAAGCTAAGGTCAAGATGTGAGTTGGGTCACGAAGAATAAGTAGTTCATCTGGCAGATACTGGAGGCAGATGATCAATGTCCCTTCTAGGGCAGAGACAAGGAATGAGGAGGGTTCCAGTGGCAGGAGAGTGAAATGGGTGAATCTGGAAAGATGGGTTGGACTGGACTTGAGACCATATAGGCCAAGCAGAAGTATGAATTTAATCCTATGGGAAAAGGAACCTCTTTGGAATGGTCATGGAAGAAGTCAGAAGCCTGCCAAAAGGCAGTGGCTGAGGGTAGGAAAGAGGAGACAAACTGAAGCAATGTTGATGTGAGTAAAGCTGGAGGTTCAGAGTGACCCCCAAGTGTCTGGCATGAAGTAAGTTAAGTGTGAATAGTAATAGAAAGGAACCCACATTTGTTGAACTCAGTATACACCTGACTGCTCTGCAAGGTAGGTCCAGGCATACCTCCTTTTATTGTGCTTCACACACACTGCATTTTTTACAAACGGAAGGTCTGTGGCAACCCCGTACGGAGCATGTCTGTCGGTGCCATTTTTCCAACACCATCTGCTTCCTTTGTGTCTCTGTCACATTTTGGTAACCCGCACAATATTTCAGACTTTTTCATTATATTTGTTATGGTGATCTGTGACCAGTGACTATGACTCACTCATGACGGTTAGCATTTTTTAGCCATAAAGTATTTTTTAATTAAGGTATGTATATTGTTTTTTAGACATAATGCTAAGGCACATTTAATAGACTGCAGTATAGAGTATACTTATATGAACTGGGAAACCGAAAAATTTGTGTGCCTCACTTTATTGCGATGGTCTGGAGCCCAACCTGCAGGATCTCCGAGGTATGCCTGTACTACTCGTTTTTGAAGAGGAAAATATGGAAGTTAACTTGCCCAAGGTGACTGAAGCTAATGAGGAGGTTGAGGTTTAATGTCATTAAGTAAATCTGACAGCACAACTCTTCTGGTTAAAACCTTCAATGACTTTTCACTGCTTCCAGCCTACTTCTCTTGTTCAAAATCAGACACTTATCGAGCACCTAACGTGGTCTAGAAGCAGGAGATATAATGGGGAACAAAACAGACTACAGATTACAGAAAAGCGTTTTTCAGACTCCAGTCATGACCCATTAGTGAGCTGCGATCAGCATTTTCTGTCTGTGTGCCTGCAGTAACAACGTAATAAACCAGAAAATATCGGGGTGCATCACACATAAAAATTATTTTTGGTGTGCAGCGAGGTCAAAAAGTTTGAAAAACATTTTTTTTCTTTTTTTTTTTAGTGAAGGGGACAAGCATTCAAATGATTACACAAATGGATGTAGGATTGCAAACCACACGAAGTTTATGAGGGAAAGTTATCTGGTGCCAACGCAGCAGCATCTAATGGGTAATCTAACTCAGTCTGGGGAACGGGAGGGCAAGTGTAGAGATGTTGAGAACTCAGGGATAGTGGGTACAAGTGAGGGGAAAGTTTTGCAGGCAGAAGGAATAACCCGCAAAAGAACTGAGGATTTAAGATACATTAAAAAGGTAAGAATGAGGGCGCCTGGGTGGCTCAGTTGGTTGAGCGACTGCCTTCAGCTCAGGTCATGATCCTGGAGTCCCGGGATCGAGTCCCGCATCGGGCTCCCTG